CACGCCTGCTGCCCTTGGCACTCTGCCACGCCTGCTCACCTCCTCAGGCCGTTGGCACTCTGCCACGCCTGCTGACCTCCTCTGCCACGCCTGCTCATGCCTGCTGACCTCCTCAGGCCGTTGGCACTTTGCACGCCTGCTCACCTCCTGAGTCCGTTGGCTTTGCCATGCCTGTTCACCTCGTTAACACGCCGCCGCCACGCCTGCTCACCTCCTCAGGCCGTTGGCTTTCTGCCACGCCTGTTCACCTACTCAGGCCGTTGGCACTCTGCCACGCCCCTGCTCACCTCCTCACGCCATTGACACTCTGCCACGCCTGCTCACCTATTCGTTGGCACTCTGCTACGCCTGTTCACCTCCTCAGGCCGTTGGCACTCTGCCACACCTGCTCACCTCCTCAGGCCGTTGGCATTCTTCCGCGCCTGCACACCTTTCGGGCCGTTGGCTCACTACCACGCATGAAATCGGGAACCGCATTTCCTTCGATGACACACCTCTGAGGCTGTCGGCGCTGGCACGCTGCCATGCATGAGCTTTCTGTTGCTGCTCCTGCTGCTGCCTGCTGCTGGTACCTGCTGGTGTTGTTGTCGTTGTACTTGTCATTGTCGTCGTGTTGTCGTGGTCGAGGTCGTGGTCGTGCATGTGTTTTTTGTGGTAGCAGCAGCAGCTGCTGTTGTTATTGTCGTTGTTGTGCTTGTTGTGGTTTTGTGGTTTTTGCGGTCTGGTTGTGGTTGTTGTTGTTGTTGTTGTTGTTGTTGTTGTTGGTGGTGGTGGTGGCGGCGGCGGCGTCTTAGCCGTCGTCGGGACCGATGGCGGTAGGTTCCTGGACATGGCGAAAGCGATCACGACCAGGTGGTGATGTTGATGGTGGTAAATGATAGTGACAAGGTCGGGACATCTCGAATGCAATCATGATTACGAGGCGGTTGATGGCAACTGATGACGAGAGTGGTGCGGATGAGGATGAGGAGTTTGAGGACGAGTGTTGTTGTTGTTGTGGTGGTGGTGGTGGTGCTTGTGCTCGTGGTGGTGGTGGTGGTGGTGGTGGTGGTGGTTGTGGTGGTTGTGTTCGTGTTGGTATGGTGGTCTTGGCGCAAGGCAGCCGGTGCTGCCTCAAAAAGAGAAAAGGGATTCACGCACTTCTTTGGTCATCGTTCGTCACCGCACGCATGTGTCATGGTAACAGTATGAACACAGGATACCAGCTGCAAAGAAGTAGAGCTTACTCAGCCTTGCTCCTCATTCGCCTTCCCCACAACGGAAGCACGTGCGGCCTCAGGCAATGAAACCATCCTGTTTGCCTGCACCACGAAGTAGGGGCTTGACAAAGCTGCACAGCGCCGGAGCTTTGCCGACAAGCGCCAAAATCTGCTGGGCCTAGGTCGGAAACGAGTTTAGTCCGAAGTCCGAATTACCTTTCGGTGCTCCGCTTGTGCGCCGCGGTTCGGCTCGAAGCGAGTGGACAATTTCTGCCCCGGCAACGGCGAGGACCTATCTCCATCTCGTGCTGGGACGGAGCAAATTTCTCTTTGAGGTTCGGTGCGAATGGATACTCGTGAAATTCAGGCCAGGCCCGAACTGACTCCTATAGACTTGTTCGAAGCCTGCAAACGTGTATTTCCGCAAGCAAGCTGGTGATACACGGTACACTTTATGCCTATGCCATGCAATCACGTCTACTTTTACGACTGGGGCTCGCTTTTGCTGCTTCAACTTGTTGTGCCATCTCGCACCATGTCTAGCTGAAGTTCCAACACAAAGTCCTCCAAGTTGACGACGCACTGATGAATCCGTGTGGGTTGATCAATCAAGGTCTCGGACACAGAATGTGTCTTCAGTCTTATGCAAGAGTACCATGTTCCGGTGCTCGACTTGCCCCGTTCTTGGCTGTGAGGCTGGTGTGATCGACATAGCATCATGCGAGTCTGTCCGTGCCTAAGGCCTAAGGTTCCTGTGTATGAGAACCCCATGCCACGGTGCAGTTTGAGGTCTTGGGAGCTCCTTTGAAATTCCTTCTCGCTGTGGACGGCAGCCCGGAGTCCATGGCTTCCTTCGACTACGCAGCCTGGATGCTAATTTGAGGAGGCCGCTGCCGGCCTTTCCTTCAGCGAAGCGTGATCGCATCGTGCGTGGTTGCTGTTTTAATGTGTCCAATTGGCACTCAAGGTTGTCCGCGATCTCCTCATGCGTGAGCGCGGCGCTTTCTTGGATGTGGGCATCTTACATCAGGTATCATCAGGTTAGAATGCATGTAGAAGGATGGGCTGTCGTTTTTGCATAGAAGCATAGAGGTGCGGAGGTCAAGGACCGACCGGCAGCCAGCGGCATGCTGCTGATGACAAGGTCCTACATGTCTACGACGACGGCAAGGATTTCAGACCGCACTGTCCGGTCGTGTCGCCACTGTGGTAGGATGCCATAGGTTGACATAGTGGACGACGGTCTGCTTTCCCCGAGAGCTGAGTTCGATGAAGGGTAATTAGCATTAACTTACATGTAAAGTTTTCGGGCATGGTTTCACGAGGACTATCTGCCACCAGAGTACCGAAGAGAACATCTTCGTGCTGTTGCGACTCGACAGCACGCTTTGGCCCATGCCTCCGCGTGTGCCCTGTAGCTAAAGGTATCATTCTTCTTTGCATGCCCCAGCTCTACTGTTGAATTGAGGTCTATGCAAAGTTGCTAGGGTGGGTAAGCCTCGACCGCTTCGTGCTCAACTGGAAGGAGAAGACGTCGCAGGCAGGCGTACAGCAAGCCGACACGTGCTTCGACCATCCATCTTGCCTTCCGTCTGGCTGATGTAGCCCGTAACGGCATGTGCATGCTTCTCTCACTGAAGGTTGGCCAGATGATCTGCGACCATTTTGTGGAGAATCCTGCCACTTTTCTTTGCATGGGCTTCCGTGGCCGCAAGGCCCGGCTTATGTTGTTCCAGGCCATGACATGAGTATTAGCAGCAGTTGAGATCTCAGACTCTGTTTTTTCTCACCCGCTTTTCCTCGAGGGCGAAAGGCGACTCCAAAACTAGGCCAAACGTCGCAGCCCGCTCCGACTGTACAAGGTCTGTGCAGAACAAGGGGGAGAGTTAATCAGACCTGAAACAGGGTAGAATTGCCGCCGTGCTTTGTGTGGCGTGGGACTATTTATCACTTCCGCATCGCCCTTCGCATTGGGCACCAGAGCTACTACCCGAATGCGCCGTCAGGGGAAGAAGGACGTCCGAATGATGACCTCGAATATCTATGAGGCCAGGCCAGCTAGATACTGTACACTCTCGAGACCTATGAACCACATAGGGAAGTACTGAGAGGTGAGGCGGCTTGATGGAACGGGCTGGGCGCAGTCAGCTGAGGTTCTCCGGCTTGGACGCAAGCTGACCTTGCTCGGCATGCCCGGGCCTTTGTCCTGTTTCAAGCATCACCTGCGGTGTGGCACGCGGAGTCTTGTCACCGTAAATGCAAGGTGCAGCTTGGTGGTGTTTAAGGACAGCTGCAAATCAACAAGCATGCCTTAGCTTCTTTGCTGATGGCCCATTACCGTGTCCGCAGTTTGCATACTCCGGCATCTTTCCGTCAAGATGCAGAGACGTCGGCATACTGCAGTGAACAGTTGCCGTCCGAAGGAGCCAAGCGTTCAGAAGCTTCCGATGGGGCGGCCGGTAACCTTGACTGTACCAGCAAGGGAGATGCCCGAACGTCATGCTTTTCACGTGGGGTCTGATCGGTTCACACCTGTAGTGCGGCCCGTAAGTTTTTACCAGAGCCCCTGTCTTCATCTTCACTTTGACCTCAGGCAAAATTTGTGGTTTCGATGAGCCGAAGGCTCAGGATACTGGTGCCATTTCCCTGCTCGTCTCGTTGTCCTGGAATTTGCAGCCTCTGCAGCCCGACACATCTCGCAATTGCACTCTGATTTCTGACAGGTCTCAACAAAGCCGCATCAAAAGCGTTTCTTGATGCATTGCGACTTTCGAAGCCAGGACTGCTGGTGATTTCAAGACTGCCTGCCCAGTATGTAAGCCAGAGTCAACTTCTGTAGTTGGAGTGATGTCCTCTTCGCATGCAAGATTATTCCTGTGAGCAGCCCCCCCGTGGTGCAGGAGATGAGATTCACTTGATCTACGTGACGTTCTTCACGGAGGATCAGGAGTCAGATCACGTCGCCTCGACAGAAGAAAGATCCGCGAACAAACTCAACAATCATAACAACCACTGCGGCACGAAGCTATGCTCGGGGTAGTACCGCTACAGGTGAAGACCATGCGTGACCGCTACTGCCACTTCTTTGAGGCGCCAGCTCGCCAGCTTTTAATCGGCGATGCCAAAGCTTCGGAGAGTTCTGCTGCCGTAGATGTTCTACCCACTACGACCCCTGCTTCGCAGGGCCTGGGCGATGGAGATCACCACGTTCTTCAGAACCTTGGCTTCATTCAAAAGCTGCACTGACGGAGTGAGACACGCCTTGGGATGAACACCTTCTTTTCAGTTCCTCTGACTTTAGTATCCATGCGCCAGACTCGAGAAGCATGTCGGGAAGTGCCGTTGGCATGCAGGCTGTGAGATGCAGAGAGCGCGTGATCTGCTTACATCTCAAGACCGAGGAAATTCTACGACCGTCACATCGAGTTTCGCATCGTTCCACAGCATAAGGGTGAGTTGATACCACAGACAGTCGCAGGCAGACAGCCTGTCACGGTTCAACACTGTGAACGCTTCCAGACGCATGCTTTGCGGCCTATGTTGAACCCACGTGAGTAGGCTACGCAGAAAGCATCGACGCAGACTTTGTGGTCGTTGGGACAAATGCGCTCCGTGTGGATCGCGGCAAGGAGCCCATAGGTGCGATTCCCTAGCCTTTCCTAGCTTCCCCCGTTTTCCCGGAGTGCTTCTGCTGTTGCCCCACCTCACAAACCAGCTCCATGCCGAATTGAGTGGAGGTTCAGCGTCCCTGCAGATCTGCATGGAAGCGCACTGCCCCGTTGCTCAAATTCATCACCGGTCGGATTGGAGATTGGATCTGTTGAGAGCAAGGGAGGTCGATGCAGCGGCCGTGCGCAATCTGAAACGCTCGTAGTTCGGTCTCATGGCATCAGTGCGGCAACGAGCGCTTGACCACGGAAACCGACCCTACTCTCACACTTACTCGTAGTCTTTAGCTATTCTACTGGTTTACTCTTTTGCTCGTTTTATTAGTTTTTCTGTTTCATGTTTGTCATTCAACTCTCTTCGCTCTTTTTGCCCGTCTTGCTTGTTTGTATTTGCTACCACTGCCACTACCACTACCACTACCATTACCACTACCACTACTGTTACTGCTGCTGCTGCCACTGCCACTGCCACTGCTGCTGCTGCTGCTGTTGCTGCTGCTGCTGTTGCAACAACAACAACAAGTGCAACCACAACAACCACCATCACCACCGCCGCCGCCGCCGCCAGCA